GTGAACTTACTTTGTAGCTCAGGTTGGTTTCTGACTCACAGTAATCCTCCTGCCTCAGGATCCCCCAGTGTTGGGATTACAGTGGTATGCCACCACACCTGGCTTTATCCTGTCATATATTATTTAAAAGCCCTCAGTTGTCTTGCAATGAAAGCCACCTCTTCAGAGCTCAGCGGGGGCTCCCTTGTCAGTCATCTGAATTCCTCCTGATGCTGAAGCAGGTGAAGAGGAGGAGCAAGGGCACCTTGAATTTAAGTGCACTAAGTGGGAGAACATTTTTATCTTGTTTTTCTCTGAGGGTTAGACACAAGGCCTTCGCATGGAGATATACTTTTGCTCATTTTTATTTTATTTTCTATTTTTACACAAGGAATCACTAAGTTATCTGCTACAGGTTGGATGCCTCCTGGCTCAGCATTCAAAAGTCCTAGAATTACAGGCGTGGATCACCGAGCCTGCTTTGGTTGACTGATTGGTTTTGTTTTCATTTTCTTGAGACCTGGTCTCAGCATGTAGCCCAAGTTGGCCTCCATCCTCCTGCTTCACCCTTGTAATTACTAGGATTACAGGGGTGCATCCCCACACCTGGATCTACTAGAAGTTTTCTGTTTGTCTTTTTTACAAACAAATATTTTGACAAAAAATAGGGTCTTGCTATACAGTTCAGGATAGCCTTGAGCTCACTTATCGCAGGCTGGACTCAAGTTTGCAGTGATCCTCCTGCCTCAGCCTCCCGCATGCTGGAGTGGCAGGCATGTGGCCACATGCCTACTTCTAATAGAATTTTAGTAACAGCCCTGGGAAGCCTATATCATGCTAGAGCTCTTGACTAGAACTCAAGGGGATCCATGTTTGAACTTATCACAGCAAATAATTAGTATTTTGGGAGCAATGGGATTTGAAAGTTGGACCTTTGCCCTGAGCTACATCCTAGCTCATTGGTCATGTTTTATTTTGATACCGATTCTCAGATGTCATGTGGCCCAAGCTGAGATTTTTTTTTTTTTTT